CCCCAAAACCCCAAAACCCCAAAACCCCAAAACCCCAAAACCCCAGTTGGTTTAAAAAATATTGAATATAATTTTTGGAAAGTAGCAATGCTTTTTTATTAGAGAATTTTGGATTTTAGCTTAAAATGTAGTTTTGGCAGAGGAAACTTTGGGTCATATATTTGGTTAAATATGATAGATTTTTGGTATCTCCTGGCTATTTGAACATTATTCCTCAGGGTGTAGCTAAACTGAGCCTTCAAAGATAAATCTCAGTAGAAATCAAAACCTGAAAGCTCTAAAATAAGAGAATTTAAACTGCATATTCCTTTTATTAGGGATTGGTAGATCTGCTTATTTCTTCTTAAGCTAAACAGGCTTATCACAGCCAAGTTTGGCGAACTTCTCGGACTTGTCAAGACACTCAGCAATGACAAAGCTTCGGCCTTCTCAGCCTTTTTCTTCACCTTAAGGGTCCTTCTTGTGTGCCTGGTATTGACATCAGCTTCAGTAGAAATTTTCTGGTCAAATATTTCATGAAGGTCTTTATCTGTGAAAGAAAAATGGAAGTGAATTACAACATCGCGGAGGTCTACATCAATAAAATTCTATTCTCTCATTTTTGGTTTCATCTGTTGAGCTTAGGCTTGAGAATGATCTTGTCATGATTAAGTTCCTTCAGAACTTTGGTCAATAAGTCAAATCCAATTGCGTCTAGGAATCAAAGTTGTTAATTTGCAGATTTTAATAACTGATGTGTTGTGATCTTCCTCTGCATCTATTTGCTAAAGTTCTTCATCCAAGTAATCATGGGAATGTGTGCTTCTTTCTTTACATAAGAGAGGCTGGCAGAAGTCTGAACATTTTATACAAGCAATGCTCCTGCTGAGGTTCATTTTAATATGTTCTACCAAGGTGGTTTTCCCACAGAAGGAACCTCTACAAATAACGATTAGGAATACTCCTTTTCTCCAAGCCAAAGGAGGGAGCTGCTTAGTAAGTCTATTTCCAACTACAGTAGTGAAGATTCATCTTTATCTTTGTCTGTATCTATCTTAGATTCCTCACCTTCATCAATTGCTTCAGGCAATGTCATCCATTCTTGAGCCTCTGCTGGCGCCTCAGTAGCTTCATTCTCAACAAATAGATCCCAGCTTATTAAGTATTCTTGGGATAATTCAATAAAATTATATTTTGATGGGGTTTTGGGGTTTTGGGGTTTTGGGGTTTTGGGG